ACAGGCATGCAGAGAATCGTCTTGGTGCGGTATCCAGTTGCCTTATCCACCTCGCGGTTGAAGCGCTCGTCGGCGTACGCATCGGAAATGTTTACTGTTTCACCTGACTGGGCCACAAATCCCGCAATACCCGCGCTAATCGGGATGGTGACAATATTGCCATCTTCAAAGTGGGCCTCCAGTGTGTCGTCCTTGACGAGGAAGATGCTGCAGCGGTCGCTCTCCGTGAGCGCCTTGGCGGTGTTCATGATGGAGTTGGCAAGCACGGCCTCGTCCAGGTTGTCACGGGCGAGCTGCGTCGCCATTGTCAGCATGGCCTCTGCCTTTTCCTTGTTCCATTTTATCCTCTCCGACTCGATGGCGTTGTATACGGCACATGCAGTAAATTGAAGTGTTTCCTTGATATGTTGTTGTTGCTTTTCTTCCGTGTTTCCCCATGCGCTTTCGACGCACCCCACCACATTACCGTCGTAGCTGAGTGGCAGGTAGAGCGTCCCGGCGATGTTGCACTCTATGCCCGTGGAGACCGCTTTGCCGAGTGGCGTTGTTTCGTCAATTGTCGCTGCCGTGCCGTAGACAGGGTCCTTTAAGAGGCTATCGGTCGGGTCCTTATAATACACAAGGGTTCTGGAGGAGTCAAGGCTGTTGCAGAGCACTTCATTTAGGCGCTGAAAGATATCTTTAAGGGGATTGCCAATAATAAGTGTACGCTCTATTAGCGCAGAAAAATCATTTTTCGGTCGCTGCGATTGAACTGTCGAAGGCCCCAAAGATGCAACGGTTTCGGCGAGAACTTCTTGCGGCGCCCGTAGCAACATTGCGGCAAATGCCTTCTTTTCGGAGACAGAAAGTGCTTTGTTGTTGCGTTGATAGCGTGCTAAGATGGACTCACTAATGGCAAAGGCCTCGCAAAGGTGGTTGGATTCATTTAACATCTCATGCTTGTTCGGGCTGAGACGGTGTTGGGAAAACATTTTGTTTTTGCCCTTGCTTTTTGATGGTTTTGCAGACTGCCTGTCTCACGTGAAGTAGTTCTTGTGTACACTACGAGGGGGAAGGAGAGAGTGAAAAAGAAAACATAAAAAAAAAGCGGATAAATACATGGTAACATTAACAAGAGCACGCCCTAAGAGCACTGAGACTCCGTAGCCGTGCACTCGGGCACAGCAAGTAGGAAAAGTATCGTGCCTGTGTGTGTGTGAATGTGCGTGAATGCAGGGGGCCTCATTGGAGGAATTATTCCGTACATGGCACAGAATAACACTGCAAGAAACAGGAGGAAAAAGAATACAGGCACAGCTTCGCAATAGAAGAAGCATCCCCGTATTTTATGAAAGTACAGGTGTTGTATTTACAATGCAAGGGCACCCACGCGGGGGGGCGCAAACAGAATATACCGTTGCTGTATGGTATGAGGAGAAAAAAAAACGAAAAAAAATTTGGGAGAGGGGTGTCAATTTGATATCAATAAGCACCGCACAGAGTTGTACTGCTTTGGTGTTGTTGTTTCTATGGTTTGGGAGTCTTCTTCACCGCCTTTTTCTTGATGACGCGCGTCGGCGACAAGTACGCCTCCGCTAGCAAGCGGTTGGCCTTCTCCAGACGGAAACAGCGGGCTCGATCTATAACGTCGTCGTACACCGATTTTCCGTACCGTGTTTCCGCCAGCAGCGTGGCGATTTCAACGTCGCTCATGCTGGACTGAACAAGGTACGTCTTTGGCTGGACCGTCACCCCGTCGGGATGGATGTGAGAGATGTAAGTTCCCTGATCCGTGCTCCGCCCCGCCTTGGCCCGCTCCAGGTTACGCAGCGCCTTGAAGTACAAGCTTTCACGGAAGCGATCGGATTCCATGAGCATCCTGTACTGCGTCGCCTCCGGCTCCGGTAGGTGGGTCTTTGCGGTGGCGAGCCCGCGGTACTGTGCAAAGAGACGCACAATGTCAAAGTGCTCCACATCGAAGGTGGCACAGTGAGACGCACAGTACTTCTCGAAGGAAGACGCATCCTCATCGGTGATGGGCCTAAACTTATCCCGCTCCTCCTCCGTGAGGGCGTCAAACTTCTGCGACAGATTTGCCCAGGAATCACCTGAGACAATCCGGTTGACCTCAAGCACCCGCGAGACTGCTGTGAAGAGGGCCTTCTGGGTCGGCGCGACGGCTCTCAGCATCTCCACAAAAGACGCAAAGTAGCGCATTTCCGGGAAGTACCAGGCTATCGGGAGCGCGCGCTCGGAGTTCGTCGTCTTCTTCGCGGTGCGGAGCTTCTTGGGCACCAGTTTTTCGCGCAGTTTTTCCTTCTGCTCCGACTTCAGCTGCGTCAGTGTATTCTTCGCCATGCGGGCGGTAAAGGTCTCGTCGCCCGCGCTCGCCACGTCATCGGAGCGAAACAGAAGTCGCATGAGTAAGTTGAAGTCGTTGAAAGACTTCTCGCTGTCGTGAGTCCTCAGAACCCCGATCTCATTTGCGCGTGCGTTGTAGCGCCGGCGCTCCCCACGAGTGAGTTCCCGCCATCGTTGTGAGACAACCCGCATATTCTCATGCCCGCGCCGCAGACTTTTAGCTGTGAGAATCCGCTCCTTCTCCTGTATTTCCTTCGCAAAGAGGGAGAAGCCGTTGATGGAGTGACGTGCCTGCGCCATACGCGCAGCCCGAAGCGACTGAGCATTGCCACTGAAAAAGCGGTACCGCCTCATCGCTACGGGGAGGCGAGAGTGGCACGCCGAATACCTTTGATTTGTGTTGTTGTTGTTGTTGTTGTTGCGGGAAGAGAAGAGAAGGGAAGGGGCGCAAAGGCAATCGGCGCATTCATCAAGCGCACGGGAGAAAGCGGACGAGCAGCAGCGTGTCAAGGCAGAAGCAGACGTGCAAGACCCACGCCATGGCGCACACTCGTACCAACGCGAACGAACAACAACAACAAAAAAAAAAAAGGAATGAAAGAAACTCATCCTGAAAACAAATTAAAAAGGAGGAATTAAAAGCAGAAAAAAGTAGAGGGGCGAATAGCGAACGATCACCCCACGCGGGTGCCGTCGTGCAATCCAAACACCTGCATCAGTGCAAAGTGCGCCCCGTACCACAACTGGCCTCCAAACGAGGCCCGCTCAAGAATCAACTCACGAGTACGGTACGACCGACGAAGGCCCAGCTTACCGTTAAAGGCAGGTAGACCAATCTTCATCCAGTACTTCACCTGTCCACCGGAGACTGTCGTTTGATAGCTAAAGACATACCACTTAAAGAAACGGTTATTGATGACGAGGGTTGTCACGGTTTTGCCACCATTCGCCTGTTTCCAACACGACTGCTCAAAAATAGAATGCAATAGCGACCTCAGGAGAAGCGATTGCGCCATAAATTTGCCACTGCTCCACAACCAAGAGAAGTAAGACAAGCTAGTGTCTTTGCCAGCCATCGGATATTCCTTCACCTCGTAGAAACAACTTGGGGCATGCAGTACCCGCGCCGTCTCTCCCAAGGGGCTCTCAAGGAGTGTCACGCAGTTCCAAAAGGTCAAGGTGGGACACGGGTTAGTTGTGCGCAGGCCGCTATCATAGCCCACGAGACCTACGTAGAGAGGAAGCCGATAGCGTGACAAAAAAGAACTTCCTTTTCGGTTGCGAAGCGCCAGTGAGGCTGAAAAGGCCACTAAAAATGAAAAATCAGCATACTTGTTGTTGATATCATCTAAACAGTGCTCCATAAGTCGCCATTCAACATTTGTTGGCGAGTACAGACGCCGTTGTACAAGGTAGAGCAGCGTGAAGAAGTCCTTCCGCCGTGCATTTTCCTCCTGATGAGCGGCCCTACTCACTCCTACTTGGCTAAAGAACATTCACACGCTGAGAGTACATTTAGTTGTGTATGCGTGTATGTGTGTGTGTGTGTGTGTGTTTGGTGCGAGATTAGAGGAGGGGAAGTGAACGATGCCAGGTGCACGCAGACGGGCACACACACGGGGAAGGAAGGAAGGAAGGAAGGAAAAGGGGTGGGAGAAGGATTCATGAGTGCTGGCGTTCAATTCAAAGGGAAAGAAATAGCGAAGTGATTTGTGATCAACATGCGTAGGAATCTCAGCGGGAGCCTTTAAGGAAACAGGCATGCCTTCGAAGCAAACTGAACGTTAAAACTAATAATAAGTCATTCCACAAGATCTACAACGCCCTGTTGAATTAAACTCTCAGCTTCTTCAAAGCCCAGCAGGATTTGTTTGCCCTTGTAGAGGTTAATAACCGCCCCGGAGATGGGGGAAACAAAGACATGGTTGACTAAGCCACGAACCTCCAGTTGCTGCGTCGAGGGAGGCCGCCATGTGAAGGCTCTAAGATCTAACGGAACAGCAAATGATGTCATGTACTCCACCATAACTTCGTTGTATTCCTGCAGAAAACTGGATTCACATGGCGCCAAAACATCCGACAAGGCATTGTCCCTTGCCTCCCACCACGCCCTTGTCATCTGTGATTGCCTCCACATCAAGTACGCCAGGAGGCAACGCTTGTCTCTCAAGTACTTTGCCCGGTAGTACTTCATGGAGCTGGCGTAGAACGGCTGAGACGGATCGGCGTACGGGTTACGGGAAATGGATTCCAGGTGACGGAAGGAGTCCGAGATGCCGTCCACGACGGCCCTCACTTTGCGCTCGTCAAACGGCACCATCGTGCCCCCACTTACCACAAGCGCCCGCAGCTCATTGATGAGCTCTGCGGAGGGATCAACGGCGTCCTCCATTGGCCAGCGGAGGCCACACCCCTTTTCTGCCCATGAAGCACCAACAGCAAGAAAGAGAGAAGAAAAAAAACACAAGGAAAAAGGACCTTTCGCGGAGGCAAAGGCCTACCGTCCACGGTCGACCCCCCAGCAGAAGGTCACGAAAAGCATTTTCTACAACAACAACAATAAAGTTAACCTTGAATTTATTCCTAAATATATAAAAAGAAAAAAACATCAACATCATCATCATAAACAAAAAAGAAAAAAGAAAATACTGTATATATATGTATATGTATGCATATATATATATACAAAAAGGCTGAACAAATAAGAGGCGTCGTAATATTTTTCTCTCGTTTACACCGTCGCCTCGCTGGCCCGCATGTTTTCTGAAGAGGCCCCACCACCAATACCCTTCCCCACTACGCCTTCTGGGTGTTTCGTTTTTTTTGTTGTTGTTGGGTTTCGCCATCATTCCTTTAGGATGCGTGGGGCGCAGGAAGTTACTCCCTTTTGTTTCCTTCTCTGAGGACGACAAGGGGGTGACGTGGCAAAAGCAACACCAATACTATCTTCAACGCACTGACTTGGGCTTCACCTGATGGCTCGGGGCGCTCTTGCCGCCGCCTGCACGGTCATGGTGGGCAGTCTCGTATTCCTCAGCAAGCAAATCAGCCTTGTCCTTCGGCGGGACGCGACCTTCGTCTTGCTTCGTGGGCATCGTTTGCGTTTTACTTTGGATGTGTAGCCTCTGTTCTTGTTCTTGTCTCAGGCTGTGGCTTTTTTTTGTTTTCGTTTTTTAAATTATTTTAACGTTTTCCTCTAAGTGACGTGAATTTATTTGAATACTCGATGGATTCTTCACTTCTGTCGTGCCGAAAAGAAAGAAATAGAGGCAAGAGAACAATAAGAAGAGTCGGCCCATACATATGCGTGCACACACGGGCACATCCCCACATTCCACTACGAGAGAGAGAGAGAGAGAAAGAGAAAGAAAAACTGGTCTCACTGTTAGTCGTTTGCAACCTTCGCCGCAGCCATGTGCTTTAGACGCCTTGCTGTGAGGTGCCGCGTCTGGGAGGGGTCAAACCCCTCCGCCGCAGACTCTGGCAATGCCCAGCGTGGGGTGGGGCGCAAGTAGGCGTCCGCCGTGATTTGTTTGGAGAGGGCAGGGTCAATGACCATGGCGTGGAACTTCCCAAAGTCGATCCAGGTGTGCCAGTTGCCGTCAATTTTAAACCTTTTCTCCGCCAACAGGACGCAACCGGAGTGTTCGTGCAGCGAGGCCACTTCGTACGCCTTCCCGTCAAAGATCACTTCACACAAGCGCCTCCCATACGCCTTTAGCTGCTCCCATGACGGGACATTTTTAATCCGAAGTATACTTCGACTGTTTCCTGAAAATGCCGGCGTAAGACGCTTAAGTTCAACAAAGTTTGGTCGACCGGTTTCAAACAGAGTTTTGTACTCTAATAGGTTTTCCTCGCTCATGTTGAACCCATTGATCATCGTTAAACGAAAGACGGTCCTTTCCTTTCTCTCACTCATGTGGACCATGCTCTGTTGAAAGCGTTCCCAGTAGTCGGGGAACACTGGCCGATCCAAGAGTTTCATTGTTTCCCTGTTAGGGGCATCTACACTGAGGTATAACTGCGTGACGGGCGTTAACTCCCTCAAAGCATCAGGGAATTGACCATTGTTGACGAGAAACGTAGACAGCCCCCTTTCGTGCAACAGATGCAGAAATGTGTTCACATACGGATACAACACACTCTCACCGACGAGAGAAAGTGCACAGTGCTTTGGGTTCATCGCCTCTTCCAATGCCTTCTCTGTGACGCCCGGCATGCCTCGTACGCCTTGTATCAACGCTCTATGACTTGACAGCATGCCATCAACGACAGTCTGTGGGTCATCCACCTGCCACTTCCACTCCGTTGCCGTGGGATTTGTATTTAGGCGCCAACAAAAGACGCATTTGTTTGCACACGCCATGCTTGGCGTGGCCTCCATGCACTGATGGGATTGAATTCCATACATGGTCCACTTGTAACACCCACCTCTACCACGCATCATGGACTTTTGCCAACGACAGAGCTTCACCGCGCTGTGGGTCCCCACCAGAGCATACATGGATTCCAGCGTGGCGCGGCGCTTCTCCGACAGCATTGGCCGCCCAGCTGTGCGTTCAATGAGTTTCATTGCTATATCCACTACAGACAATGGTGAAGAAGAATAAGCACAGCAATAAAAATGTGTTTGCTGTTGTTTCCCTCTTCCTTCCATCGCCTTCAGGCTGTGGGATAGAGATGGTACCCACATGTTGTTGGGCCGCGTTTTTGACGTACGGCTGACCAGACGGCCCTCGCCGCCACACCACAGCAGGCACCAGCCACTCCCCCTCTCACTGGCACGGAGGCAGACCGACAGACAGACGTAGCAAGAGACGTTCACCACCGGCATCAAATTGCAAGCACTGAAAGCGCTGCAAAGTAGTCCAGTGAAGTAGCGACACAGCGATAAGAGAAAAACAACAAGACGCCTAAGCAGATAGATACAGGCAGCGCAGGGAGAGCAGGAAGTCGACCTGTGCACAAAATCAATGAGGCTAAGGTGACTACGAGACCTAAACAAACAGCTAGGGTGGACGCCATACATGGCATAAATGCGTATAGAGCTGCCCTCGCACTCAGTACGCTATAAAATATAAAGTCACCCAGGCCCAACTTAAACGGACTGCGGTTCAATGCGGAATACAAGAGAGACGCCGATGCCAATTTAGAGTTTCTTTCTGCAGTGACGCTGTTCTCGCTGTCGGTTCTGCTCGAATCGTCACTTCTTCGCGCCTCCTCGCCTGTGAGGTCCCCTGAGGGCCTGGGTGCGTGCTCCAGCTCATTCGCAGTGTGAGTGCTGTACACAAAACCAGGGATAGGCTGTTTGCGTTTATCTGCAATTTGAATCAGCATTTTAAGCGGCCCGCGTGGGCTTAGCACGGCAACCACGTCGTATAATGCGACAAACACGAGTATCGCCCACGTGGTCCATTCAGGGAGAAACGTCATTGTCCAGCCCGTGAGAACTGACAATACCACCAGGTACGCCTGCGTGAGGACGGGGTGTGCGTAGTAAAAAATAGATATGAGCCCCACAACCCCAACGTTCCAAAGCAGAAACGTGCATGTAACAAAATCGTAGGGTATCTGAAACCGTGTACAAAAAAGATCCAGCCAAATCCACAACATCGAGGAAAGCGCAGAAGCGGCTGAAAGCAACAACAACGCAAATAGAACCTTCTCACAGTGATAGGTGTAGAGCAACACTATGAGAAACGTCATAACAGTGAGAATGGCAACAACAATCAAGGCATTCAACAAGGAAGAGCCAAGCTTGCCCTTGATGGTGTCATGCGTGTCCTCATCCATGACAACAAAGAAGGCTGGCATTTGCTCTCGGAAAAGAAACGGCGACAGATTCAGCGCACTCCATGAAACCAGAAGTATGCATACAAGCACAGGCACAAGCAACGCCCCAATGCGCCTTCCTAAGAGCGTCGCCACTCCATCTAGCGGCATCCGCTGCTGCAACTCGGGCAAAACCATGACTCAACCGGCAGCAAATGAAGAGGAAAGGAGGGGCAAAGGAAGGATGAAAGGAACCGTCACCAGCAAAGAACCATGAAACACATATGCACGATAGAAACACGCAACGGCCCAACAAGCACACATACACTAAATACAAAACAAGCTCAAGATAAGAAAATTAAAAAGGAAAAAAAAAATTAACAAAAAAAAAGGAAAAAGACGGTATCCACGTGTGTCTTTTTTTTATATACCCTTCCTTCTTATTCTTATTTTCCTGCTTTTGCTTTTGCCCCGGCAAGATGAGGAAAGCTTCGGCTGGGATGCACGCGACGAGGCATGCGCACTTTAGAGGAAGCACGAGAGGGGGCACCCGGGTTATCTACCGCACACACGCACCCCGCCCCTTTTCCGTTTCCCCTCCTCTTCCCTCCCCTGGCTTCGCTCAAATGCCTTCCGCAACAACGCACCTTCGGAGGGGAAGGCAGCGACGGGCAAAACGCAAAAAGACAGGCGCAGTGAGCGTCATCGGAGAAAACGTCACACGTTTCTTAGCTCTCAATCAACGACTACTCCTTCCCTCGTCCGCTCCCTCGCTTGATTTTAATGTTCCTCCTCCTCTCCCTTATCAGCTACGACGGCGCCCGAAGACACACACATACACACTAAATACAAAACATCAATTGAGAATTGAAAAAAAAAAAACACAGACGCACATAAATGCGTTCATTTGACTGCGTTGAACACGATGAGAGTGACTATGTCACAAGTGGGCCCGGGGGCTTAAACCGGAAGTACGTGTGCAAAGGATTGATCATTCCCACGGCGAACGCCACTATCGTCACCAATGTAATCAGGCAAAATGGTCTTATGGTTTCGTTTTCTTGGAATGGGATTTGGACGTTCATGGTGAACAGACCTGGAATAACTCCAATTGGCATCGTTATCAAAGCCATTTGTGTCATGACGTTGCTCACGAAATCCATGTAGTAGCAGTGCTGAAACAACCGCATACACACACCACTTACAAGGCTCATACTTGACAGATTGAGAACATCACGACCCTTTCGAAGGCGCTCAATGGAAAGCAGTAGACCAGACAGCAGCCTCTGATAACGGCTAGCCGCACTGGGGTCCGCCGTAATAAAAATGTGGCGCATCACTGGCAACATTAACTGCTGAATAAGCCGTTCCTTTGCCAAAAATGATGCTTGCACTCGAGACAGCCTGTGACGCAGATTCTGAATACGTTGCATTAAATCCATGTGATCGCATCGGGAAGGTTGAATCTGAAGCACCAACTCATTTACATTGTCCACATCAACAAGTAAAGAAGATGGTTCCTTCTGGTATTCCTTTACAAAAACACTGACAAGGGCACACACAGATACCGACACGGGCTCCGCATACGAAGTTGGGGAGGCTAAGACGGACTCCATCTGGGCCCGCAACTCCTCGCCCCCCGCAAGCGGCTTACGCAGAATCGTGAGCAAGACTTGTTCAAACGCAATCATGCAGACCCTCACAGGCGCATACTCCTCATCACCCAAGGAAGTTGTATTATCGTGCCTGGCATCAGCATTGATGCTTACATACCCACATGATGGGAATATTTCTGCGCCCTCACTGCCTGTTGTTCCATTCCTCACATCCTCTATCGTCGAGGAATGAATAGGAAAAAAATTTAGCACCTTGTCAATGGCCGCATCGTCGTCGCATTCAAGTTCAACCCAAGCAAAGTCAACGGGCTGCACTTTTTTACCAGCCATGTCCGTGCTGCCGTCCACCGTATCATACAATTCCGCTATAGATGGAATTATCAACTCCTTGTGTGACTTGGGGACAAATGGAAGCGTCTGTAACACGTTTAGAGCCGCTGCAAGTTCATTTATGTTGTACGTTTGCGTTGGCCCCGACACCCCGTCCCTTCGGACGAGAAGCCGAACTTTCCCTGCAGCTGTGAGAGTTCCCATGTGTTGCATTTCATCAGTCTTTGCCGGAACACGAGAGAGGAGCGAAGCAGAACAACGACAGCAAAGAAGGAAGTGGTTTGAACGAAGATGAACAGCGAAGTTAGGCAGCAGAGGAAGTTGCTCTGCCACGCAATAAGTGGGAGTGAAGGGGGGTCAACACCAGAAACAAAATAAGCAAAAACAAGAAAAGGAAAAATGCAAAGCAAAGATGTAAAAGAATAGTAAAGTCAAATGACGCAACATCGACTTTGGCATTCACCCACTGCTCCTGCTCCATTGCTCTTCTGCTCGGAGTCAACGCCATCCGGCATGCACACGGATGCAGTTCCGCGTAGAAGTTAGTGATGCCGTAGCTGTTTTCACGTGCAAAGGTCCCTCAAGCTGAGTTCCACCATACCACGCCTCACCGGCCCGAAACTCCCGACTTCGACTCGTGAATTTTGGATGGTTTAATATTTCCGCTCTAACTATAGCTGCCCGCTGTGCGCGCGGGAGCGTCGCAAGGTACGGGTTGCCAACCTCCCTCGACCCGCGTTCCCGCCGCAAGACGCGCGAGGAAACACCAGGGTGAGGGCAGCCGGACTCTTGTGCCTCCTGTGCACCTGCCACTTCTCCCTTCAAATCCCAACAGAGTGCGGAGTCAATTTCAGGCCGGCCAGTAGAATTATCTATTCGCTGGTGATAGTAGTTCACCTCCGCTACGTCGGCTTTTCTCTCAAACCTCGAGTTGTCTGCCCCACGCAAGTGTTTCGTGGGCCTTGCGTCCTCGGCGAGCGTAAAAGCTCCGTGACGAAAAGGTAAAAAATCAGCATCTCCCGCGCGCCGAGCTGACGCCTTTTTTTTCTCTAACGCCACCGATTTTTGGGTCTTCGCGGATTCAAAGGGGGGTGGGTTCCCTTTGAAGCCCACCTTGCTGCGCTGGATCAGCCATTGGAGACGGTTCAGCGCCTTCTCTTGGTCTACGGTTTCTTTTTTTGTCATTGGGTTTCAGGCAAAGCGCCAATTCCTCATTGCAAAGAAATGAGACGCACACAAAGTAGTTGGAGGGAGAGAAAGAAATGAATAATTGAATAAAAGAAAGGCAAAGCCCCAAAGAGTCAGCGAGAAGTGCAGCAATGAACGTCAAGAATGATGCGCAGAAATACAAGTCATGCGTGTATGCACGCAGGCGCGTATACTCTCTTCAAGACAAGCGAACTGCGACGGAAGAGGCGTGTAAAAAAAAAAAACAACAACTCAAACATTACAGTGAGCACCAAGGAGAGAAAATGTTAAAAAGGAGAAGGCGAGGAAGGCAGCGCGGCAACAAAAACAACAACAAGAGCAACAACAAATCACTCGCCACTCCCCGAAGCGGCCACGCTAAAAGCAAACAAAGTTATAGCTGAAGAAAAACAGGGGAGCTCAAGATGACACGCTGCCATCCACGCGGACCCACACATTTGTCAAGCTTCTTTTTTTTATTTTATATTTTCCACAAAATTTCTACAAAAATAAACATAAAAATAAAAAAAAGACAAGACAAAAGAAGGAAGCAAGCGGGGGGACCAAACGCTTGGCTTCTCGCGCTTCAAGCATTGTGGATCTCAGTAAAGCAGCCATCACAGACTCGTTCTGGTTCTGTGTAGAGCGACTCTGGAATGGCACAGGTTTTAGACGAACAGGAGTTGCAGAAAACATTCCCGCACTTCCGACAGTGATGTCGCCGCCTCCAAAATCCAAAGTATGCGCCACATCCCTTGCACGCGCTAACTGTCGAGTCATCCACCCACTCCACCTTGTGAACCCAAAAACGCGCTACGTCCGTCGTTGTGAGAGTCTCAAAAACGACTTTCTCAAAGAAAGGGTGCCTTTTAACTTCCTCCATCCCAGGACGCTGAACGGGGTTTTTTACGAGAAGCTTTGATATCAAATCCTTCGCATCACTATCCAAGTCTTCAGGGTAGTGAGGCTCTTTTTCTAGTATGCCTTTTATAAGAAGATACTCTGTTGGCTCCTCAAAGGGACGCTTTCCCACCAACATATGATATAATACACAGCCACACGCCCAGTAGTCAGAGGCAGTACAGGTATAATTATCCTGCAACAGCTCAGGTGACATATAATGCGTCGTACCACAAAACGTCTGGGCACGACCTTTACTGCCGTGCTCTCCCTCTGGACGCTCATCCACAGATTGGCATACTACGGCTGTACCAAAATCAATAAGTTTAATATGTTTGCTGCTTGTGAGCATAATATTTTCCGGTTTGATATCCCGATGTAAAATTGTAATTGGCTTCAAAGGTGCATTGGGAACAATTGGCAGACTCCGTTTAGGTGCATAATGCAAGTACCAAACGGCAGAAAAAAGCTCTGCCAAGGCGTAGCGTGCGGCCTCAAGGGGTATCTTCTGACGCGACGTAATGGCGTGAAGGAGCTCCCCTCCCTCGCAGAGCTCAGTCACATACATGAGATCATCCGGCGTTTGCATCGAGGCGTGAAAACGCACTATGTTCGGGTGGTTGCACATAAGAAGCATGTGCGTTTCCCTTCGCGCCACCTCAGCCATGCGATTCCTCTCCTCATCCGAGGGGGCGGTGAGGATTTTTCGCTTGGAAATAAGCTTGACAGCGTAACGCACCCCAGTCGGGACGTAGCGCGCGACCAAAACTTTGCTGAAGGCCCCGGAGCCCAACGTCGTCTCGAACTCAAATTCATCCGGATACATTCGCGTCGTCGACATGGTTGAATCGGACAACTGAAAGAGGCAGCCGCCGACGAAGAAAAACAAACAATGAACAGGTACCTCCTGCTTGAAACCCTACTGCAGAGAAAATAAGGCGAATAGAGGGGGATGGCTACGAAAAGAAAAAGGGGAAGAAAAGAAAGGCCAAGAGGATCAAACAACAATGAAGTCTTACGCCCACCAGCCCGGGCGGCCCACAGCAACCAACTTGGAGCAAAGAAAGATGGAGAGGGGACCAGGACACACACACACACCCACACTCATGCACACATGACAAATCAGGATTTGCGCAAGTGCACTCTGTACACTATAGGTCTCACTTCGGGGACAATGCTGGAATAGTGCGGGGAGCCCAGTGACGAAAATAGTCACTTTGGAGTCGCAAGCGGAAACAAAATTGGTTTCTACTGTTAACTGAACAGGCATTGGCGTCCTTCGTTCCCATTATCGCCGAGAAGCAATTTGATATCTGCAATCCCTCCTAGTGTGTGCGTGCAGTTCAAAGAAATCCCGCCCCAATCCCACACTCCTCAAGAAAGAAGAGCAAAGTAATTTTTTTTTACCAGTAGTCATCTGTTCTATTTGGCACGTGCGTCCTGCACACGCGTGCATGTCAGTAAGTCTAATTTGCGAGGCTCTGTCACCTCTCTCATAAAGATCGTTTTGTTGTTCTTACATCCGCTGGCCGCCGCTCCAGGTAATTCTCTGCTACCTGCAGACCGAAGTCAGGCAGAAGTCTCTCCGCTGATTCACGGCGTTGCTTCAGCTTCGTCCCTGTCTCTATTAGAAGCGACAGAACGCGTTTCCTCATAGCCGTTCTCCAAACTACGAGAGTCCGCTTGCATTCTTGCCTCCCACTCTTCAATTGCGGCCTTATCTCTACGCTCATTTCCAACGCGTTGCCCAACTCGTTTGGCTTTTACTGCAATGTTCTTGAAGTAGTCTAGAACAACTTCATCCCGTAGCCATTGTTTGTACTGCTGGTAGCATGCCTCGGAGGTGATTTTTTTAATAGATCGCTCTGTCGAATAAGTGAGTTCATGAAGGCAAAAGGCCAAATTACGCGCCATCTGACGCCTTCGTTTACCGCGCTCGGAATAAGGCTCAAAGCGCTGACACAATCGGTCAATGAGGGACTCCGTCGGCTTGTCCCCTTCTACCCGTTCAAGCAGGGATCGCACGGCCAGTTGAAATCGATCAGGCGGTATAGACTGGCTCAGTTGCGCAACAAGTGGAGGAATCAAATTTCCCGTCTTTTCCTTTTCCTTCATGGCCAGGTTCTGAACAAATAGTAAGGCATTGTTAGCAATTGTCTCATCTGGATCCGCGACGAGTTTCACAATAGTATACAAATGATCCCTGATACGCAGCATCTCACCAAGGACGAGGTGAGAACACACTTGGATTGTCACGGCTCGAACCCGCAAGTCATCATCGGCAAGCAGTTTAAAAAATCCGGTCGTGGGTACTTTCAGGTACGGGGCAAGCAGATTTGGATGGACGCAAGCCAAATCACCCAAGGCGATCACAGCATTCGTCTTTACCACCCAGGACTCACGTTTTTCAGAGACGATCGCAAAGAGCAGATCCAGGTTTTGTTCACAGAACCCATCACTTACAACCATCAATTCAGACAGCGCCATCACGGCACATACTCGCTCCAGTGGCTTCTCCTCAAAACGCTCAGGTTTTTCCTGACAAGCCTTAACAACATACTTGGAATATCGATGCCACACGGATCCCTCTGACATAATGGCAATCTTGCGCCGCTGCGCCAGCTCCTGAATAGCATGTCTCTTGTATTCATGAGACCCCAATCCAAGTTCTTTGTGCATAACGTCCGCATTGGCACTACTGGTGATGTCGCTTAATGGCTTCTGGGCCATGGCCTCTGCATCGAGTCGTTTTAGTTGTTGTCGCTCCGCACAATCAACAGCGACGAGTTGTTTCAGAGCGGTTCGCCCCAATAAAAAGAACAGTTGCGTCAGACTGTTTGAATCGGTTTCAATTCGGCGAACAACATAATCCAAGACATAATTATATATTAGCACAGGGGATTCGCATAGGCTGTGAACGGCGTTCACCGCCGCATCCGCGAGAATCAGCCACGAGGATGGTGTCGAGGTGCGTCGACAAAGATGAATCACTAGTTGTTGCAATGTAACATTTTCACTTGGTTCAATCTTCACAGGTATCGGTTGATAATGTGGGTTTTGGTATTCACTCGCCAAAGCCGTTAAGCAATACGCGAGGAGGACATTGTCTCTTACGACATCTGAGCGCAAAAACTCCACAATACTCTCTTTTCTTGCAGAAAGCTCTCGCCAATCATGCTTGCATAAAAGGCCAAATAGCCGCATAGCTGTGCGTCTATCCGTAATTGAGACATCATGATCCAGTGACCCTTCTGCAATACCCCATACGGCATCCATAAATTGACCTGATATTAGCCGAGAAAAGGAGGGATTGCATTTCATTAACCCAAAAATGCGATCAACGGCACTGACATCACCTTCTGTGGCCCCACGCAAAAACCCAATCAACTTGTGGGCACTTGCCGTATTTCGCACCAAAGATGAGGTTGAGGTTCTCGCATATGCAGTAAACACGACCTCTAGAAAGGCATCACGTACGGCGCATTGTATTTTAATTTCACCTTCAAATATCATAACTAACACACGAAGAAATGCCTTCTCTGAACCCTCAATGCGATACTCGTTACATGCAACAACAAGCTTAATGGCCTCTATAGCATCGCGTTCTGTGCGACTATCCAACAATGTTGTTGCGTGCTCCAAGGCTTTCTTGATCAATTCAGCAAATTCAAGGGCTTTTTCGTAAAAAATCACTCGATTTAACATGGAACTCTGCTCTTCAGACAACTGAATAACATTTGTTGTGTTTGCTTCTGAATCACGAATGAAGTCGTTTGTTTGAGCCTCAACAGGACGGCATGTACTTTTCAATTCAGCCAATCCTTTTCTATACACATCATCCGAGTCAAACATCTTTGCTGCGGTTATTTTAGATTCCTCCAGCTTATCACGAACAAGGGAGGAATTCAAAACATGTCCAAACCAGTTTTTTCGCAAAATACAAGCAATGACCTGAAGTGCGGAATCTCTGACAAGATAATTTCGATCTTCCAATCGCCCGAGGATGGCATTTGTTACTGCAAGGTGAAAACGTTTTGGAACTGCTCGGATTTCTACCAGTCGTTCCCACATATGAATCGTGTGGTTACGAACAAATGGATTACAGTCCATTATGCGGAATAATATTTCACTTAGGTATTTGTCCTTTGTTTCTTCCGCATTCTCTGTACTAGACATCGGTCCAGTATACTTTTGAATAACCATCTCTGTTATGCAGGTTATCACCGATTTTCGTATCTCGTAACTTTCGCTATGAATGGTTTGAACAATTACATCGGCCATCCGAGCAGTGACACTTACACAACGTTTTGCAACCTCGCTGAAAAACAGTGCCATGTTTTTGCTGCTCCAGCATCACCGGAAACATCATGAAGTGCGGCAACAGCCATTCCTTCAATGAGTGCGATGACGATATTATTTGTGGAATCGTTTGAAATATCCCCACTCTCTGCTTCTGAAACAAAACGTGTGAGAAACTGGGCTGCAGACTCTGTTTTTAAGGCCAATTCAATCAATGGCACAATAAAATCGCATGGAGCAACGGATCCTTGAGCCACTATGTGACCAGAGACTCTGAGTAGAAGAACTGCAAGGGCACCTGAAACGGGCTGAGCATCATTTTGAACATTCGCTTTTTGAGTTATCATATGAAGCACCATACGAAGCATTAGGTTTAGCATGTTTTCCTCCATGTGAATTCCCCACATCGTTAATAAATCCGGTGAACAAACATCGATTAAGGCAGTGAGTGCGAGCTCACGGCCGTCTTGATCTACACCACTGCAATCTTCACCAATACCAGTATCCTGTTCATTTTTTGCACGTTTTCGCTTGCGTGCACTCCGCTGCGAGGAGTAAGAAAGATTTTCATCATCCTCAAGTATCGGCGCCGAAGATAAAAGTATATTACACAAAATAAATACGTACATTTTCACAGTGGAGCGTAAGCAAACTAATAGGGCTTCATTTACGCCACCGTTGGCTTTTTTGCGAAAATAGGCCAGAGAAATTTGTAGAAGCTTTTTTAAGCGTTCAGAGACTTCATGACAAATCTTATGCCTAGCCTGCTTTGTGACAGGTTGATTGGTCTCGGGACTCTCAATTGCCTTTATGTACGAAAAGAGAGCCGTGAATAGTTCCGGTTTTGAAAAGAGTGATGTGGGAGATTTTTCTCTATGGAGGCAATCAAAAAGCCTTGCCAAATCATCCACCTGTTGTCTCGGGTGAACGTCAAATTCGCATGGTTCACTAACATGATACTGGGTCGGCCCGGTTTTCTCTAGATCCTCCAAATCGCGGGCGTGGGACGGAACAAAAAACTCAAGCACGTCCGTCATCTGCTTTGTCCCCTTTCGCGCTAAGCCTTTTTTTTGTTGTTGTTATTTTTCCCTCGATGGAATTGTTCTCCACAGTGATAATAATAATGCACAATAAATACAAAAGGAAAAGGTAAGCGGAACGTAAAGGGCCAAAATAATAATAATAATAACAATAATAATAACAATAATAATAATATAGACATCCACGCGCAAATAGAAATGAAAGTGCGATGCACCCATGGACTCCTATCACCCCAGCATCATAAATAAATGAATCACACCCCTTCGTACGCGGCAAAGCCGAGCAACCCCTTGCAAAATCAACGACAAAAAAAAAACGAATGAAATCAAATTAAAAAAAAACAACAAGAAAAAACCAAACAAGTAAAGTGAGTCAAAAAAAAAAAAAGACGACTCTCTAACACAAAATAAGGGGGGGGGGAAGGGAATATCAAGCCAACATCACCAGACTTGTCACAACCTT